CAAAAATCCTTAGTACCAACAGTCCTCCCCCAATATTACTATGTTTGGTGTTTTGCATGAAGAATAAGGCTATGGAGACACCCCATCCTACCCCTCAGATTTCTCAGGAGAAGGTATCAAGAGGAAATCTGTCAGAATTTCAGAGGTATCTAAGGTTTCAGTCCTAGTTACCATGCTAGGAGTGAAACAAGGAAATTTCAAACTTGTGCTTCTATGTTTTCTCATAATTTTAATTAAAAGGTAAAATACTCTCCTAAGTGAAGCATCCCTTAATTTTCTACATGGACTAAGGGTTCATCTTACTTTAGTGTCCCTGTAAAGAGGAAGACATCATGTCAAGTGACTTTATATTCAACCACCAACAAATGAAATATCACACCAAGAAGGGGACTACCCATGCTGAAATGAAGACTCAAGCCCAGCCATTTTACCTTGGTCTGAATTTCTTCTCTAACATTCACACCAAGCAGCCAGCTACCTAAATAGTTTGCTTTGTATGACTTAAATTTTAGACTTTAGCTGATTTTTAGAGGAAAAAAATTAGAAGTTTTAGCTGGGTCTAGTGGTACCTGCCTTTAGAATACCAGTACTCAGGAAGCAGAGGCAGTGAGTTCAAGGCCAAACTGTCTACATAATGAGATCCTGTCTCAAAATTAAAAAATAAAAATAAAATTCAGCCAATGATTGAATAATACACAATTAAAGTGACATCAATCTTGACCTCAAGAATCATGAAATCTGTGTATTAAGCTGAAACTCAAATTCACTCATTGGTTCCAATTCTTAGTGGCTTCCCAGACCCAAACTTAACGCCCCTACTACTTGACACACTAGTAAATACCTTCAAATACATGAAAATGAAGTCTAACCCATTAGACTATACACATATATCCACAAATAAAAAATATAAACAAAGCATTTTCTATTTACAAATTACAGGGATTAGCTTCTGAAAGAGAACAAAGCTTGTAAGCTCAGGGGCACTTACCATAAAGACCTTTTTTTTTTTTTGTCTTTTTGAGACAGGGTCTCCTTATAGCCCCAGCTGACCTGGAACTCACTATGTAGACCAGGGAGGCCTTGAACTCACAGAAATCAGCCTACCTAGGCCTCAAGTGCTGGGATTAAAGGTATGCACCACCATGCCCAGCTTATTATGTCAGTTTTTAAAATACTACTTTACTTCATTTGAAGAGTACAGACAAATGATCTAAATCTATTTTACTTTACTTAAGACGGGGTTAATTATTAAGTCCAGGCTGGCTGCAAACTCCAAGGCATTTGAAATAGTACTGTAAATGCTGATTTTGTTTTTCTTTTTCTTTTTTTCTGGTCTTTTTTGAGGCAGGGTCTCCCTGTAGCCCCAGCTGGCCTGGAACTCACTATGTAGAGCAGACTGGCCTTGAATTTACAGAGATCTGCCTGCCTCTGCCGCCTGAGTGCTGGGATCAAAGGCATACACCATCATGCTCAACTTTGATTTTCTTTTTAAAGGCAGGTTTACACACAAATACAAAATAAAAAAATATTTTCTTAGTATTGTGTAATACAATTTTAAATGACTTTTGAAATCATTTTAAGATCAAATATAAATATATAAATACACACACACACACACACACATATATATATATATATATATATATAT